CGGCTCTTTTAAGTCCTCTGCCAAGAGATAACCAGCAAATCTCTACGTGGTTCGAAAGATTTTCAAAGTCACTTCCCTTCTGATGACAAATCATTGTCTGTGTTTTACTATGCTTTAAGCTCTTTAAAAAAAAAAAAAGCTACCCACACCACTGCATCCTGTACCACTTTGTGTACTTCCGGACTTAACCTTTTGACTATGGTAGCCTGCAGGAAGTTTTGTGGGGCATTGGTTTCACAGGTGTGGCCATCCCTGCACCCTTACCCAGAATCCTTTTCATCATGGAGCAGCCACTCCATCGGTGATTACACCCAGACAGTTTCTCCCATAACTGGTGTCTTCATTAAAGAAGTAATGTACTGTTCAGTCAATATCGCCTCTTTCCATTAGTCGCTCTCAGAAATGTGGTTCTTCATGTATTTTATTATTGAAACAGAATCTAGGAAAGCCATGTGAGAAACATCTGTACTTTTTTTCAACTATTTAGCAGACTTTCCACAGCGTGAAATGTGTTCTAATGTTTATTTCCCCCACATCTTCCAACAGTATCTGTGGTCACTACATTTTGTTCTATGCACTATTCTTGTTACCACCAGCTTCCACACCAACTGCCTTCTTCCCAGTCTCTAGAAGACAAGGTGTGTGTGTGTGTGTGTGTGTGTGTGTGTGTGTAGATAACAGAGTCACGTGACATGGGCCTAAGAGAGAGTGGATTGGCTTCCTAGCAACCATCCCCTCTCCCCATCACTCCCAGCAAGGCCAAGAGTGGAGGGGGGCCCCCAGGGAAGGGAAGATTGGTATCTCATTCCCTGGTTGGATATATGCTTAAGCTCACTGCTTGCCGGTCTGCCTTGTCCCTGTCTGACCACAGGAAATGAGAATTGAAGCCGGGACTTCAGTTATGTCTGCCTAGATTCTCACCGTTTCTACTACCAAATAGAGAAGAACTTGTATTTTAAAAGGCAGAGGTTCTGGCCCTGACATTTTCTGGTTGATCACCGGCACTTGCATTACAAGCATTATCTTCCATTGTAGTTTCTTTGCGGGAATCTTGTTAAGCCACCATTTGCGAGAGTTAATTGAGTTAAAATTTGGCAAAGTAATTTGTGAAGCCACTTAGCTAGACACACGTGACCTGGAACCCAGGGCAGGAGTTAGCCCTTATCAGCATTCGCCTGAGGCCATCACTTTAAGCTTTCCAGGGAGCAGGGGTGTGGAGGTGGGGAGGGAGGGGCAGACACTGCAGGAGCTTGTTTGGAGGTTCTAGCAAGGCAGTCCGGATTCTCCAAGCCCCTGGCCACTCCTGGGCCATACATATGTATATATATATGACCTGTCACCTAGGGACCTTATTTACAACGTCGATTCCTAGGTGTATTAGTTTGCTAAGGCTGGTGTGACAAAGTACCACAATTACGTGGCTTAAACAACAGAAATTTATTGTCTCACAGTTCTAGAGCCTAGCAAGCTGAGATCAAGGTGTCTGCAGGGTTGGTTTCTTCAGAGGGCTGCGAGGAAGAATCTGTTCCCTGCCTCTCTCCTAACTTCTTGCGGCGTGCCGGCCATCATTCCTTGGCTTGTAGATACCACACGCCGATCTCTGCCTTCATCTGCACAGGGTGTTCTCCTCGAGTGCGTGTCTCTGTGCCCAAATTTCCCCTTTTAATAAGGACACAAGGGGCACCTGGGTGGCTCAGTTCTTAAGCGTCTGCCTTTGGCTCAGGTCATGATCCCAGGGTCCTGGGATTGAGCCCCACATTGGGCTCCCTGCTCCACGGGAAGCCTGCTTCTCCCTCTCCCGCTCCCCCTGCTTGTGTTCCCTCTCTCGCTGTCTCTCTCTCTGTCAAGTAAGTAAAATCTTTAAAAAAAAAAATGACACAAGTCATATTGGATTAGAGGCCCACCCTACTTCATATGCCCTCATCTTAACTAATTATATCTAGAAGACCCTGTTTCCAAATGAGGTGACATTCTGAGGTACAAGGGGTTATGACTTCAACGTACAAATCTGGGGGACAGACACAATTCATCCATGATGCTGGGCTACACCCCAGACCTTCTAAGACAGGACCTCTGCGGGTGGGAGCTCACACTTCATGTTCTTAACAAGGACCTTAGGTACCTTGTTTGTTCACTAAAGCTTGAGAGGTTACATGGCAACCTGAGGTGACACAGACTGTTCTCTCTCCCACCTCAAATACATAGGAGCACCAAATAAAACTAAATCATAGATGTCAACATGTAGCTTAGTTCAAAAGAAGTGAAGAAGAAATTTTCATGTGCCATAAATGGAGAGATCAAAACTAGAGGGCTAAGCATTGGCTGTTGCTGAGAAAACCCTAAGGAGTGTTAGACAAGGATACAGGCCCCTAGAGGCAGTGGCGGACGGGGGGTGGCGCTGGGGCTCAAATGCCCTTGAGGGAGGTAATAGGCACACTGGGTACTTGAAGCAGAGGAACTAATCTTTTTGCATGAAGCTTGGAGACTTGAAAAGGTACCTTGTCAGTGAAAGTCAGTGAAAGGGGGACTAGAAAAACCAACCAGAGATTTGTTTCAACTAATTAAATATTGGGCAGATTGGCCATTCAGATCTGCTATGTGAACTCACAGAATCAAAGAGCTTTCTTAGCTGAGGTGCATCTAAGGAAAAAGAATTTGGGTTGGTTGAGGGGAGGGATGGGGGTCATTCTAGAATACTACAGCAAAGTTGGGATCTGATAAGGCCCACCAGCAGGCAAGGAAGAGTTTAGAACAGGCAGGGCTGGGCCCCTGAGCAACTGGGGGAAAGAAGTACCGGTAGGTGGGAATGAATTAGGTATACTGAAAGCAGAGGAGGATGCCAGGGAGGAATTTGCCATGCTTCTGATAGATAGGTGAGGGCCAGGGAGGCATGAACCTGACATTGATAGGCCTCCCCCTCCTCCTCTCCCACAGGTCAACCCTTTCAGAGACCGAATCTGCAAAGTGTTCTCCCACAACGGTGTGTTCTCCTTTGAGGATGTGCTGGGCATGGCATCTGTGTTCAGTGAGCAGGCCTGCCCCAGCCTGAAGATCGAGTACGCCTTTCGCATCTATGGTGGGTTGCTAAGTGGTGGTGGTGGGTGGGGGTCAGTGCCAAAGAGTAAATACCAACCTAGAATCCATCAACATCAGTTCACTGGTGGGATGATGTTCCTTGGGATTCACTTGGGTGTTTATGGATATTAGCATGTTTCTTGAATTCTACAGATTTAAAAAAAATGGTGGTGAACAACTACTTCGATGGATAGATGCCCTCCCTCCATGCCATAGGAGGCAAATGGAGCCACGGGTGTTGTATTTTGTGGTAGCAGTGTAGGCAGGCCAGAGAGAGATTGAGGACTACATATGGGTATGAGGGAGACATGCTTGTTTTGTAGGAATTCAGAAATTTGAACACCAGAACTAGCTCAGCCACAAAATGGCTGAGAAGTCTTGGACAAATCATTTCATCTTTCTGGGCCTCAGTTTCATCATCTTTAAAATGAGGTGTTTGAGAGAGATCATCTCTGAGGTCCTATGACATTTTTTGGTCTCTGGTTTTGTCTGGATTAGCCATAAGATACTGCAAAAGTTCTGCTCTTCAGTGGGCTCATGTTCCCTTAGCACAGCTGAGATGCCTGGAATTCTCCAAAGAAATTAAAAGGAAAGAAACAAAGAAATCTTGGGAAGTTTTCAAACAGACCATGTACAAGGCTTCAAGCTCATTGTGACAACTCCTTGGCCCCAAAGGACTTGTACATTCAGGCTTGCATAGTTTGATATTTCATATGCTTTTCCTTCCAGCCAGGTCCTCACTGTCTCCACACAGTGGACACCATCTTATTCTTGCCTTGCCCAAATGGATTTGGATAAAATGGAGTGGAGGAGTTTTAAGCCTGATGGACCTGTGAGGGCTCAGGTTTCTCATCTGTAAAAAGGACTTAATGATATTTTTGTAAGCCCTACGTCCTCAAGCTTAGTATCCAGTAAACGCAAATGAAATCACAGATTCCCCTGCTGAGAATAGCTGAGTAAGCTCTTATCATACTGTCACTTCCACAGATAGCAACTACAAACTCAAAAATATATATATATGTATATATATACACACACACACACATATAGGCGCCTGGGTGGCTCAGTCAGTTAAGTGTCTTCTTTCAGCTTGGGTCATGATCCCTGGGTCCTGGGATTGAGTCCTGAGTCAGGTTCCCTGCTCAGCGGGGAGTCTGCTTCTCCCTCTCCCTCTGCCCCTCCCTGACTCATTCTTTCTCTCTCTAATAAATAAATAAAATCATATATACTATATATATATGTATATATATACATATATATATCTCAACTACCTGCTGGCACTAGAATGGTACCAGAAGCAGAGAGTTGACATTTAAAAGAAAGAAATGGTACTGGATGGTCCCCTCCCCTTTTTATTAACTTTTTTTAGCCTAAAGGTGGCTTTCAGTGAGGGGCATCATACAGGACTGATAGAAACCTTGAACTCTTTCTGACTTGAAGAATCAGACGGTTTGGGGCAATTTTCCCCTGAAAAGTGAAAAGAAGGGAGAGTCCATGAAAGAAAGCCAGAAAAAGGAGCCCAACATCTGTGTAGGAACATCTGACCTCTAAACCATATATACAAGGGCAGACTCAAAGCAGCTCAGGTAAGGATAACAGAACTGAGATTTGAGTGGCCACCGCATTTGAACAAGGTCCCTCTGTGACAGGGTTTGCACTTTAAGTCCTATCAATTGCCTGATAGAATAATAATAATAATAATAATAATAATAATAATAATAATAAATCAGCACTCTTTAGAGGAATATAACAGAATCCAGACAATAAATCATTTATAATGTCTAAGATACAATCCAAAATTATTCAAAATACAAAAATTTTAGAAAACCAGAAATGTCTGAGCTACAATCTAAAATTATTCACTAGACAATTGAAAATATAAAATTGACATGTTCTCAAGAATGGAGCCTGACTCTGACATGACCCAGATGTTGGAATTAGCTGATAAGTCTCTTAAAACAGCTACTAAACCTTGGCCAGTGAGGTAAAAGAAATTCATAATGGAAGAAATAGGAGGAATTCTCAGCAGAGAAATAGAAACTATAAGGAAGAATCAAATGAAAATATAAAAGTGAAAAATAAAATATCTGAAATAAAAATTCCCTGGGTGGGCTTAACAGGAGAATGGAGATGACAGAGGAAAGAGTCAGAAACCTGACTCTGAAGATAGTTCAATATAAATAATCTAATCTAAAGAACAGAAGGAAAAGAATTAATGGGGAAGAAAAGATATTTGAAGAAGTAATGGCCCCACATGTCCTAAGTTTGATACAAGACATACTTTTACAGTGAACTTTAAGCAGAGTTAAGTACAAATGAAATCACATACCCAAATTTAATTGGCTTAGTGGTCCCTACCTGTTCATTAGTCGTCCTCCTTCCTTACCCCAAGTACTTCTGGGGATCCCCAGGGAGTTCTAGCCTACTAGCTGCTGCCCCTCTCTGTCAGGACTCATGCCGCAGAGTACTTGCTGTGCTGTTCCGAGCCGCTTCCGCCTCCAGTCAGTACTCTTCTGAATGGGCAGCTCTTCCTGATGCCGAGTGCTGGCCCAGGCTGAGTGCTCTCATCTTAGCCAAGAGTCTTCAGGTGGCAAGTAACAGGGACCTACCTGTGTAAAAGGCAATGGATGAAGAACAGCAGTATATTCGTTTCCCTTTGCTGTGTGATAAATTACCACAAACCTAGTGGCTGTAGATGACACATTTAAAATCTCACAGTTTCCATGGGCTAGGAGTCTGGCACGGCTTATTTGTGTCCTTTCCTAGGATTTCACAGGGCTGCAGTCAAGGCTCTGTCTGGGCTGCATGTGACTGGGGAGGAACCCACTTACAAGCTCACTCTGGTTGTTGGCAAGTGCATTTCCTTGTGTCTATGGAGCTTAGAGCCCTGGCTTCCCACTGGCTATCCGATGGAGGCTGCCCTCAGTTTCCAGAGGCTGGTCTGTACTCCTTGCCACATGGGCCTCCCCTGACATAGCCACTTGCTTCTTCAAAGACAGCTAGAGAGAGTCTCTTGAGTGCATATGCTGGTAAGATAGAGTCTTATATAACATTGTAATCACGGAAGTAACATCCCATCACTGTTGCCAAATTCCGATGGTGAGATATAAGTCGCAGTTCCCTTCCACAGGAAAGGGACATGGAGATTATATATGCATAAACACCAAGAGGGGCTTATCATGGAGGGGGGAGGGCTCTAGAGTTTGTCCATCACAAGCAACATGGAACCCGTGGGAGAACTGAAGCAGCCTCCCGAGGACGCAACTGGCAAGTGGTCAGGAAGTGAGGCAGCTGCTATCTTCTTTTCTCTCGCTGGCTGCCTGGTCTCTCATCTCCGCTTCTCTCTGTGCATTTGCTCTTTCTGCAGACTTTTATGCTTCTGTGCCTATGGGCCAAAGATGAACACCCTGGTCCCCCATTTTCTCAGGAGAGGCTGATGGCTCAGCCAAACGCATGATCTTGCTACTCCCAGGCTGGGTAAACAGACTTGTCCAACCAACCGCAGCCCAGAAGATGCAGAGTCACATAACAAACACAGCTCCCAAGGCCCACTGCTGGGAGTGGGGACACTTCTCAGAGATGGTAAAGTGTGGGCTGAGCAGATGTGCCCAAAGATGTCTGCCTCAGCTGTCTTTCCATGGTTTCCAGAGCTAAATAAACAAAAACACCCAAACCTTCAGGGAGCTACAAGAACAGCAGGTTCTCTTCAGGCTTCAAGGCACAGGAGCTAAACTGTGCTCAGCTGAGAAGTGGGAAGAATGCCTTCACTCCCAAGAGGTCAGACTGAGCGCCTCAGGTCAGATCAGGGACCAGATACCACGTGTCCCCTACGCTGTCGTCGTGTCCTCCTCCAGCCCCTCTCTCCAGGCCCCCTTGATGGGTTTCCTTCCTCCTTGAGCTCCAGCACAAAAACAGAAAGTGCAAAGCCTTCATGCAAATCAGCTGTGCAAATAGATGCCTGGGGACTCATAAACTCCAAGGCTTCATCAGATATACCCAGACAAATCTGAATTCTCTTTGGGTTCAGAAGATTTGTTGCCTTACGGAGCTGTCAGCAGGATTAGAGATGGGACACGTGAATCTCTGAGCCCGGTGCTTGGTGCGTGGGAGCTGCTCAGTACATTGAGGTGGGAAGGGTAGCAGTGAAGGCAGAAGAGGAAGAAGAAAAAGGAAAAGGAGAAGGCGGTAATGGCCCTGGTGAGCCTTCTTAGCCAAAGTCCAGAGACTTAACTCGATGCCCTAACGCCTTGGTCCTCCATGAGTGGCCCATGCACCAGCAGCGACATTGCCAGGAGGCCCATTAGGAATGCAGACTCCCCAGCCCCCCAGCCCTGCCACACACCTGCTGCATCAGAGTCCACATGTTAACAAGACCCCCAGCTCGGTCCTCCACATCTTAAAGTTTAGGAGACACTGCTCTAACCCATTGGGTCTCAAACGTGATTGCACACTGCAATCATCTGGGGACTCAAGACCCACGGCTACTTGGGCCCCAGCTGCACAGATCTGATGTAAGGTGTGCCCTGGTTGATGGGCTTTTTCAAAGCTCCCTGGGTGATTCTTAAGTGCAGCAGAGTTTCGGAGCTACTATACCAGTTTGGCTTGCATTCAGTTATATGTAAGTGTCCATGTTTAAAAAAAAAAAGCCTGGAATTAGGCTGTCCAGAGCCAGGGGGAAGTAGGCAATGCCTGGCTCCTTCCAGCCCCCCTAATCTGCCATCTTTAGTATGGGACTGTTGTTCTCATCATCACAAGATGGTGTCTGTGCCTACAGGCTTCTCATCTTCATTCCAGGCAGGAAGAAAAAAGGACGGGAGAAGGGATAAGAACCAAATGAACATTTGAAGGCACAGATGAAGTTGACTCTTCTGTAACAAGCTTTCTTGGACGCCCCACCCAGCAGCTTTGGACTGCTCTGTACAGAACCATGTCACATGGCCACAGATAGCTGCAACAGAGACTGGAAAGCTGGGTATTTTAAACTGAACACGGCATCACCCTGGACAGGAATTGCACTGGTGTTCATAGGAAGGAAGGGGGGATGGCTCTCCGTCAAGAATCCAGCACCTGGGTTGTACCTGCTGGGCTCCAGTTTCTGCTTTGAGGGACGTTCCTGGCCTCCAGTGGATCGAGCCCCCACCCTCTCTGTAAGAACTTTCACCTGTCAGAGACCAACACCCCAGCCCTGTCTTCCTGCTCCCATCGGCTGGGCTGCCACCAGATGTGAATGACCTTCAGGCAGGTGCCAGAGCACCAGCGGGAGAGTTTGCCACACCGCCCCAAGACCTGACCCAGGACGGAGGGCTGGGAGAGGCAAGGGAGGCAGCCTCCGTTCTCCTGCGAATGATGGTGGAGGCGTGCCCTTCCCCACTCAACCAACATGGGCTGATTTCTGTAAAAGGACTTCGTAAATTGCAAGGAGTAACAGGACAGGGAGGTTGGGATGGTGATAGCAAGAGTGTTCTGGGGGAAACCTGAAGGCTGAGCCCCGATTCTCCAAGCTCTCTCTAACCTCCCTGTTGTCGGGAAATGGCAAGAGGTAGGCCCTCCCCCATTCTCAGAATGGCCCCGCTGCAGGTCTGAGGCTGCTGAGTTTGCAGGGGCTGGCCAGCCGCCCAGAGCTCCCAGCCCCCACCCCTTTCCCAGTTGTCTCTGCCCTTGCACCCCCAAAGGAGGGGAACTGTCCAGGACTACATTCTACTCCAGCAAATGATTCTGTTTTCTGATGGCCTGGGACCAGAGCCATGTCACTTTGCTGCAGCCTCTGCATATGGGAGCTGGGCCAGTGGGACGCCTGGGGACACTGCAGGGTCTCTGGGAGAGGCTGCGGAGCTTCTTACCAGCAGTGCAATGTCACTGCGGCTGCCCCCTCCCTCCAGTCCTGGTGCCGGTCCCTCGGCCCCTCCACCTGCCCCCAGCCCTCACTCATGATGTGTGATAGCAGAGCTGCACAGGGAGAGCCTGGATGAACGGCTCAGGACTTCACCTCCAGGACCTGGGGCTGATAAACAGTTGGCCAGTGGGGAGACATCTGCTTAAGGACCGGTTTGGTGAGCTGTCCTTTCATATCCATTTCCTGTCCAGGGGGACGGAGACAGAAGTCTGAGCTCTACCCCTGAAGGATCCTGTGACATCAGGACACTTGCTCCCTCATTCCAGGACCAATATAGCTCTAGCTTTCGTTCTTCAAAGCGAGAGATTACAGTTTCCAGGGTTGGCATTTTCAGTATTTAACATCCTCAAATGGCATAAAATTGAGCCTCTACTCTACCTAATGAGCATCTTCTATATTCCAAACCCCATGCCAGAAGACTTCCATGCATTTCCTTATTTAATTTTCACAGCGACTCTGTGGAGGTACTGTCTGTCTGTTTATGGATGAGGAAACGGAGGCTCAGGCCATGCATTAGTTTGGGTTAAATTTGGTGGCAAATGACAGGGAACCCCAAGTGGTTGACACAAGATAGCTTCCAAGATCTCTGGCAGCTACGTGTTATTTCTCTAACGTGTAGAATCCCAGAGGCAGTTGTCCACGGTGGTTCTGCAAGGTCCGGGACGTAGGTTTCTCCGTGGTGTCACTTTATCCTCTGTCCCCAAGGTCGCCTCAGTGTCACAAAGAAGGTATAGCCTTCTCTTTAAAGACGTTCCCAGAAGTTGTCTGTGCCTCTTCCGCTTGCATCTCACTGGCCAGAACTCAAACGTGGGGCCACATCAAGCAGCAAGGGAGGCTGGGAAGTATAGTGTTTACACGGTCACACACCCAGCTAAAAATTGGGTGCTTCATTACAGTGAGAGCAGTTATGAGTGAGTCAGAGCACAGACTTCCCACAAAGTTGTAGCGCCTGGGTTTACTACCGTCTCCATCATTTATCAGCGTGTGACTTTGGATAGTTCATGCGTTCACTTACTCAACAAATATTCAGTGAGGGCTTACTCTGTTCCAGGCACTGTTCTAGGAGCTGGGGGTACAAGGGTGCCCAAAAACACAAAACTTTCTGCCCTCGAGGAATTTACATTCTAGTGGAGAGAAACAAAGGAGCTAATGAGTGAAACATACAGTGTGTCAGGTAGTATGGGGCGCTGGGAGAAAAATAAAGCAGGGAATGGGACAGGAAGTGCAATTTTAGGCAGGTTCTGGTGAGAAGCTGGCATTTAAATGAAGACCCTAAGGATCTCTGGGTGAGTGTTCCAGGGAGGGGAAATCACAGTGCAAAGGCCCTGAGGCAGGATCGAGCCTGACCTGATGGGGAAAATGCAAGGAGGCAGAGTAAGGACAGGGCGGACTTTGGGGAACACTGTCGGGACCTGGGCTTTCCTCTGGCTGAGATGGAGGCTGTGAGAAGTGGTCCTGAGGTGGGGATCCACAGGACCACAGGCTGCTGAGGGGAGAACAGACTGAGGGGGCAGACGGAGAGGAAGCACACTGGTTAGGAGGCTGCTAAGGTAACCCTGGAGAGCGGTGATGCTGGCTGGGCCATGGTGGGGGCAGTGCAGCGGGGAGGTCATAAGGCTGGGTCCACTGTCTCTCCAAGGTGGAGCTGGGCGGGTCTGCTGACAACTTAGCCATGCGGAGCGAGGCAAGGACACGGTCAAGGATGACTCCAAGCTTATTGGCCATTGCCCATTTGCCAAGAAGGGCACAGCTGAGTGCAGCAGGTTTGGGGCCAGGGAGGAGGGGGGCACGTCAAGAGTTTGGGTTTGGACCAGTTGAACTTGAGGGACCTATCAGACCTCCAAGTGGAGAGGACAAGAAGGCCTGTGAATGGATACGTGCACCTGGAGTTCAGGAGAAGCCCAGGCTGGACATAGATGTTTAAAAGGCAAGAGGTGAACTGAGACTGAAGAAGTGAGTATGGTTATTTAATCTCAGTGCGCCTCACTGTCTTCATCGGTGTTATGGGGACTAAATGCAGTAGAAGAGAAAGCACTTAGATCATTGCCTGGCACATCTGTTTGTCGTGGTGGCATCGTACCTGCCTAAGCTTACTGCCCCTACTTACTGCATGGCTGATGAGTGGTTCAGGGGCTGTGCTGGGGTCCCCAGAGGAGGTAGGGGCCACGCTGGGGGTTCTAGAAGAGGCAGGAGCTGTGCTGGGGTTCCCAGAGGAGGTAGGGACATTCTCCCAGAATGCCTCCCTCGGCATTCATGGCTCTATGGAGTTCAGCCTGCCTTCCACACTTAACCTCTGACCACTCTCCCAGACCTCCAAGCTACTGTTCCCCTCACCCAAGACTGATCACTCTGGTGCTCTTCCTTCTCTACCACTGTCCCTAGCGACCCTGGCACCTCTTCTGGTTGCCATCTCTGGAGGCCCAAACCCTTTAATCCTTCTCTGATGCCTCTTCCTCCAAGAAGTCTTCCTCATTCAGACCCCCAACCCCCATCAGACATGAACTTGCCCATCTGGAAACCCTTGGAGCCCTTGGGATGCCTGTTCTTCTCTCCCTGGAGCCAAGCCACTCAGGTGCCCAACTGTCTCCCCTGCACCCCCAGACTGGGAGCTCCAGGCAGGCAGGAACCAGTCTGGTACATCTGTGCACGGATGCCGGGCTTGGGGATGGGCACCCAGGAGGGACCTACGTGTCTGCCGAGTGCAAACAAGCGAGGCGGAGGCAAGAAGCAGGTGCTGCAACAGGAAAACAAGGCAGCCCTAGGCCACCGGTGCCGAGGAGAGCAAGGCTCATGCTGGGAGGACAGGTCCTGTGTTAGGAGCTGCTGGAGCTCGAGGATGGAGCCATCCTGGGCCTGAGGGTGTCAGGGAGACTTCACAGGGAGGCAAGGGAGGGCAAGCGCACGGTGAGTCAGAGTACCCCAGGGCTTGGAGGAAAAGGAGGAGGGCACTCCAGGCCGGGGGCTGCCTTCGGCAAAGGCTGGGGGTAGAAGCACTCCGGGCCTGTAGAGAAGACTTGCAGCAGGCACTGAGAGGCCCAGGCACACCCTTCCAAGGCGCCTCTGTAGGGAACTGGGTTAAACACACCCGGGGCGGGGGGGTAGGGGGCCGTCCAGGGTGCCGGGAGCTTGTGTAATGCCCACATTTTGTTGTTGTTGACATACAGTGTTACAGTATTTTCATAGGAATGACCATATTTTTGAACTCAAAAAGGAGGACTCAAGGTCTGACAAGGGTCAGGGTGCTCCCTGGAGTGGATGCTGGGCATTATCCTCAGCACAGGTGGGGCAGGTGCTCAGGTCACCCTGCGCAGGGCCAGGAGCAGGGACCTGTGCTCAAGGCCAGGCGTTCCCAGCTCCCGGTCACCAAACCATCTACTGGCTTATGAGCTCTGAGGTGAAGATTTTCATAGCACGGTGGGTGACGAGGCTTGGGGACCAGCCTAGCTGGGTCCAAATCCCGCCTCCCACTTACCGGCAGCGTGGGCCAACATCTCACACCTCTGTGCCTCAGTGTCCTTTCGGCAGAGTGAGACTCATAAAAGGTTGACTGTGAAGATTCAGTGACTGAAAACAGGTGAAGCTCTCAGGACATGTCTGAGCGGATAGTATGCGCCCAGTGAATGCTCATGACTATTGCTGTGTTTATCGTGTTATTCAGCACCTCCTGGGTCTGCAGCAACCCACCCCCCCGCCCCCTTTGCTACTTGCCTGCCCAGGGCTCTCTGAGGGCCAGGCTCGAGGCCCGCCTGGGACGGTGGGGCTCTGTGGGGCCATGGCTCCCTGGACTCCTGGGAGGCTGAGGAAGCTCCCCTTTCCTCTCACACTCTGCCTTCTCTTTGCAGATTTTAACGAGAATGGCTTCATCGACGAGGAGGACCTGCAGAGGATTGTCCTCCGACTGCTCAACAGTGATGACGTGTCCGAGGACCTGCTGACTGACCTCACGAACCACGTGTGTGCCCTGGGGCCACACAGGCTGGGTTGGGCCAGGCCATCCCCCAAAGCCCCTGGATGGCAGGCAGGGTGGGGTGTCCTGAGGGATGGGCACACGGCTGGAGGCAACTATCACCCAAGCTTGCGTCTTTCCTCCAAAGTCCTTCCTTCCAGGGTCCCCAAGAGCAGGTGCCCGAGCCACCCACTCCAAAGGGTCCTCCCACCCACACTGCAGTCACTGTGGGCAGGTGGCCCGACAGCAGCTTAGCCTCAGATGGACACATCACCACGTCCCCTTTCCCACGTTATCCCAGATGTCCTAGAGTGACAGTCCAAAGTGTGACAGGACATGAAGGCAGCCTCATGAATCTGTTTGTCCTAAGACCATGGGAACCGTCAAGTGCTTGTGGTCTGGATTGAAACTAGAAACAAAGATAAAACCATGAAAGGTCATCTCTGCCTCCTAGACCTGACAGGGCCCCTTGCAAGTACTGGCCCCTGCGTTGTGACCGGATATAGGTGTGGGTGGGGGATGTCACCCTACTCACCTCTGCACCCATTTTCACTGCCAAGTTTGTGCTGGAGGCACGAAGGGGACTCTTCCCATGAGGTCCCAGACAGACCTCAGTGCACATAACCTTATCTCTGCATCTCCATGTCTTTGTCTGGGGTGGGGAGTAGCCGGGGC